ACAACTATGAAATATTAGTCTAATGAGGGTTGAATCAGTTTATATATTTGAATGTACATACTAGTAATTTGTTGAATTGCATATATCTGTTATACCGTAAACAGTTAGCTAATGTGATTGAATATACAAACACCATAATTGTAGTAATTTCACAATCGTTTGTATATTTCGTTAGTTCACCCATTTGATTATTAGCGCCTATATAGCCACTACTAGGAAAGTCCTACTCACTGCCTTCTCATGGTGAGAGTATTGTTTTCTAAATCAAAAAGCAAATGTCCGACACTTTATTCGGATTGGTGGATATAAAAGATCTACGTAGAGGAGTTGGAAAACCCTAATTCCATACCAACAGTACACACAGGCTCTAAGATTCTGAGGAAACAAATGGTGTATGAACCTATTGTTAGTCACCAGCTACCATGGAACTGCATCTCTTAACAATGTTCCACTCTTTTGTAGATTAGACTTCGAGGTTAAAGGTTCGAGGAGTGGCCTCCCCTAAGAAAACCATCTTCTTCGGTTCAGGCACTTGAACAGTATTACAATCCTCACAGGAATTAAATAATGAAGTGTAGTGCATACATATTTACTGCCTTCTTATACCAATGTTTGTGTGCTCAAATAAATAAACTGATTACCGGATCATTCCAGCATTTTGACCACGAATAGATCTGATAACTATTTATCTAACTGACATTTAAACTTTCATCTACTTCATATACTGAAGAAGAAGAAGAAGAGAGAAAGCAGTTCATCATACAAAACTTTCTTTTCAACGATTTCATCTACTCAATTTGTAAAATCGTTTTTATAGTTAATGTTATTTGCTGAAACAGTATCGAATAGTTGAAGTGGTAATGTGATCATGAATTGGAAATCACATATTGATAGGATGTTATGTAATAATTGTCTAATGAAAAAGTGATAAATTGAAGATAATTGTTTACTTAAAAACTAATAAGTAATCATTGTGAAACGAATTGAAAAAGAGTAGATAGATTATAGAAGATAGAAAGGGGGATCAGTGTTATGGAACAATGAGAAACTGAACATATTTTGTAATGGTGGAGAAGATTTATAGTTCACTTGAATGATTTTAATGATGTTTTTTATTCTCTATGCTGGATAGTTTAATCGTGGATTATTCATTATGTTCTTCTGAACAAGATCATCAACATTTCTACCTGAAGTTAAACTCACTTTTTTATATCTGAAATTTTTATCTCAATAGTTGAAATCATGAGCCAATTGAAGCTAGACCACCATGAAAAACCTGGAAGCATTGGACGTCCGTTTCGTCCTAGTGCGGGACTCCTCAGCAGTGCGTATCCATGATCCTGCACCAAAGCGACCCGAACCTACCTCAAACAATGGATAAAGGATTGCTCAAGATCATGGTTTGATTGAAGTTACACATTAGATGTCAGCTCAATGGTCTAGCGGTAAAGCATTCATGCATAAGACCGAATGTCCTGAGTTCGAATCCTTTTAATGTGGGATCGTGAATACACTCTGCTAAAGTGTCCCATACTTGGATGAAACAGTCACAACCAGTACTTCCAGGTGTTCAACAGTGATCTAATTTTCGTTCGACTCATGAATTCAACTATGAAGAATAATACAATTTCTACAACAAAATTTACTGCCAATAAATTTCTCTTTGTATTTCACCTTAATACAATATGAACTTACATTTAGCCTATAAATTAATTATACTTTTTATGATAAGGTTATCATTAAACAGTATCCAAGACATCTATGAATGCTTTATGTACATTATCACAGTGTTATATACATCAAACTTAATTATATACCTAATAAATGGTGTTTTTCATTCAATGGTATTCAGATATAAATGTGTTGTATACAGTGGATTTTATTAGGATCTATTTTCTTTATGTAAACAGGAAGTAAACTTATAAACCTGTAATTAAAACAATAAAAAAAAGTTTTTTTTGTAGTTGTTACATTCCATACGCTTTATAGTTACCAAGTGTATTGATTACCAAGGTTATATATATATTCTAATTAACTTTGGTGAATAAATCAATCATTGATGGCACTGATTTACGTATCAATTTGATTGATTTAGTCAACAATTCATATGAATGGATGCACAGTGTTGAGGAGTCTCACAATGGGACGAAACGGTTGTCCAATGTATCCAGATTTTCTGGTGGTGGTCTAGCTTCAATTGACTCATCAATTTAACTATTCAGATTATTATAATATAATATAATCAACATATCCACACTAGTGACTGGCTTCAAGATGGATTTCCTGAAGTTCTAGTGAGAAGCTGTGATCAGTGAAGTTCGACCAGGTTTGTTGTGAGATAGTAACCCTCTGAAGATAGTGGTGGATGTGTTGTTCAATATCATGGATTAGTTGAGATTAGACATTAATACCGTTGAATGCTAATCGGCTGAGTGATCTAGAGGTTAAGTGTTCGCGCTCGAGACTGATAGATCCTGGGTTGGAATCTGAAGAGGCGTGATCGTGGATGCGCACTACTGAGGAGTCCCACATTGGGAGGAGAAAACGTCCGTGCAGTGTATCCAGGTTTCTCGTGGTGGTCCTACTTCAATTGACTCATGATCTCTACTGTTGAAATTAATTAGTCCATCAAATGAGACAGTTCTTTTCTGTATAAAAAAATTATATATTTATACTCATGTAATAAGTTAGTGGTGATTATTATAACCTGTAAAGTAGGTCAAACTAGTAAACTGGCAAATAAGTGTGTAATAATAGTGTGATTTTAACCATAGAAAGACTGAAGACCATATAAAGCGACACAGTTTTTCTTTTTTTTCGTTTTCTATTCTGAGAATCAATAACAAATCATTGAAAAAGAAAATATAGAGTAATGAATTCAATCCGACACAAAACCTCAGAACCTCAAGAGGTTGGATTCCGTCCTGTATGAGATGTTGTGTATACTCTAATAACAAATTTCAAATTAAGATATTTCATCTGAAGTCATTTTGTATTTAGAATTGTTACGTTAGATGGTGGTTGGAGGTAGTCGATAGGAAATCCTGGACCCGGGTTTCGTGTTACTTGGCACTCGTCAGCAAGGTGTACCTGTAATCTTGAGGGAATTGGTGCTCCCTGGTGGATTCGATCTCGTGTCACCCAGCTTCACAGTCAGAGACGTTACCACTGAGTTATCCAAGCTCACAATATTGCACGCAATGTCGAGTCACCTAGACTGTTGGCCACATTGCAACATGATCGATAGCCTTCGATCTGCACTAATAAGGACTAGACACGCATGACATGGCTCGTAGAATAAACTAAAGTGGGGGGAACAGAAAATATTAATGCTTCAAAAACTTTGAATTCAATGAAATAACATCCTCAAAATTAGTTTACATCATTTACCATAACTTCTTGTTTCTCTGTTCATATCAGGAAAAAAATACCGAACTTCTCTCCTCGATAATGGTAGACGGCGGCGCAGTTTCATGGATTAGTTGAAGTTAGACATTAACACCGTTGGATGCTGACTGGCTCAGTAGTCTATAGGTTAAGCGTTCGCGCACGAGACCGACAGGTTCTGGTTCGAATCTCGTGAGGCAGGATCATAGATGCGCACTTCTGAGGAGTCCCACGATAGGACGAAACGGGTGTTCAGGGTTTCCAGGTTTTTCACGGCAGTCTACATTACATTGACTCATGATCTCAACTATTAAAATTACTACAATGTCCACAAAAATCCTTCGGATACTAATAAACATATGCTCACACTAGTGGCTGGCTTCAAGAATTCAACTGTATTTGTTGTGAAATAACAACTCACTGAAAACAGTGGTGGATGTGTCACTCAATTTCATGAATTGATTAAAGTTAGAAATTAATACCATGAGATGTCGGCCAGTTCAGTGATCTAAAGGCTAAGCGTTCGCGAACGAGACCGACAGATCCTAGGTTAGAAACTCTCGAGGCGTAATCGTGGATGTGCACTGTTGAGGTGTTTCACATTAAGAGAAAAAAAAACAACTGTCCCATATAATTTACATCGACTCATGATCTCAACTAATAAAATTACTACCATCTCCACCGAAACCCCCTTCCCATAATCACCTATCGTTTACATTATAAATTGGCAAATGGCTTACCAGGAATGTTCGCCTGTGAGAACACTTTGTACCGCATATTATAGATATCTTGATCATTCAGTAGTTTACCATAAGAATGGTAAGCATAATTCTTAATGTGGAATGAAGCAGTACCAGATATTAGCAGCGGTCGCACATTTTCAAACTGGGCCTCTGTTAACCTGCGCACCCATGAATTTCCCTGGTACCTTAGGGAATTGCACTCGTGATTGTGATGCACATTCCCACGTACAACAGTCCAGTAGCCGTCGATAATCTTACAATACATGAAGGCCGGACATTGAGTGTTCATGGAAGCCCTTCATGACAAAAAATGTTAATAACATTTATAAAATTACCTCCTCCGTCTAATCCGCTGTGACGAACCGCTAGATGTTATACGGCCATGTCTCCAGCACACAAATTTATTGTACGAGTTTTCATTTCTGCACAAATGCGAATCTCGAACTACATAATGACAGTAAGTTGATCTTTCATAATTTGTGATAGCAGACTTCAACGCTTCAATCGATGGGAACGCAACGAGAAACAACGTTGTCAAAAAGACTTCCTCTATTTCTGTTACATGAGAAACAACAGCGCTTGTACTAGGCACGTTACTGTCCTCCATAATGATGATTAAAATGTACTTCGTCGACAAGTACTGATGTTTTATAGCAATCCGACAAAACATAACTAACAAATTAAAAACGAACTTCAAAACTAGCCATTTCATTGGACGAAACGGGATGAAAAATATTGCAATTTTGGGTTGAAAAAACATTTTTAAAAAGGGTGGGTGGGGTTTTTTTTTAAAAAAAATTGCCGTGGGGCAAATGAATTTCCTTTGGGTTAAGATCCTTCATCGTTTTGTTTTTCTCTTTTCATTTTTAGTTTAATCCATACAAATGATGATAAGAAATATACATCCAATATTCAATTAATTAATTGATTCTCTTCGAATCATAGAAGACAATCATCCAATTACCATGATCATTCATCATTATGATTATGTAATCCAACTACCATTGATTACATTATCATTATCTAAACTATATTTTTATATCAACTTTCTATTCTACTTTCTATTATGTTTATCTATTCATGAGAATACAATACAAAATATTAATGAATTAACATTTACAATAAAAGAAGAATTACCCATAGGTACAATTATTGCATCAAATATACAATTAGGCAATTTATTTTTACATTTTAATCACTATGGTAACATTGAAAATATGACAAATATTATTAAAATATTAAATCTGAAAGATCCAGGTATTAATTGTTTTCATTTTCAATCGTTACCATTAAAATCATTCAATAATTCTAATAGAAATCAATTACAATTGATTATTACAAATCGAATTGATCGTGAAATCATATGTCCAATTAAAACTCATGAATTACGTAATAATAATAATAATAATATGAATGATCCTAATCATCTTGATCTGGATCATATCAATGATCTACAATCTATCAATTCTGATTGTATTATTACATTAAGAATAGCATTATTTATAAATAATTTACAAAAAATTTATCAAATTCATATTTATATAGAAGATATTAATGATAATCCACCAAAATGGAATATGAATAATCTAACAATTTATTTTCATGATGAAGATCCACCAGGGACAAAACAATCTATATTATTAGCTTATGATATAGATATTGATATTAATGCTAAAATTACATATCAATTATTAAATAATGATATATATTTTGATCAATTCAATCATAGAAATTATAATCCTAATGATAATCATAATTTGAATTTGCGCGGTACCGATATATTTGAATTAGTTCAAGAAACATTGAATCATGAACGTTTATATTTAAGAACACGATATACATTAGATCGTGAATTGAGACCTCATGGTTGGAATTTATTATTATTAGCTATTAATAATGATAGTTTAATACAATTAAGTAGTCAATTATTATTATATATTCATTTAATTGATATTAATGATAATAGTCCTATATTTACACAAACATTATATAAACCACAATTACCAAATCAAAAAATTGGTATTATCCCTGAAAATTATCCAATCAATAAAACAATATTAAAAGTATCAGCTACAGATATAGATGAAGGTGAAAATGCTCAATTAACTTATCATTTAGCCATAGATACTACTAATCAATTATTATGTCATTTTTTTAATTTAACACAAAATGGTGAATTATATCTTATTCAATCATTAAATGTAGATAGAATAACACAAATTAATTCAAGTCGTTTATATTTACCAATAACAATGATTAATTTAGATGTGATTGTTATAGATGGTGCTATGATACCATATACAAAAACTGGATCAACTACTATTCAATTACAAATAGAGAATATTGATGATGAACCACCTGAGATCTATATACATCCTATTCAATCTCTACAACAACAACAACAACAACACCATGACCAACAACAACAACAACAACAAGATGATCATTCCATATTACATAATCAACACTTCTATGAAACAGAGATTGGTGTTTATGAAAATCAAACTATTGGACAATTAATTGCTTTAATTGAAGTAAAAGATCCTGATGATTTATTGAATCCAACTACGATTCAATGTAGATTAATTGGTTCTAATTCGAATGATTTTTATTTATCTTATCATAATTCAATCAATAATGAATATCAATTATATACTAATACAATATTAGATCGTGAAATACAATCTAAATTATTATTATCCATTGAATGTAAAGATTTAGCTAATCATATTACATTACATAATTTGATAATACATATATTAGATATAAATGATCATCAACCACAATGTATGGAATCTCATTATTATTATTCATTATATGAAGATGATAATGAACAACAAGATCAAGATAATGATGATGATCTTGATCCAGATCCTGATCCTGATCATGGTGTAAATTATCGATTGGATAAAACAATGAAAAATCGTACATGGTTAACATCAAATGGTTTAGCTTATATTTTAGCAACTGATAATGATATTGGTATAAATAGTCAATTAATTTATGAATTATCTAATGAATCTATTGAAAAAATCAATTATAAATTTACAATTCATTCTAATACTGGACAATTATTTGCATGGGGACCATTTGATCGTGAATCTATATCGATTTATGAATTAATCATTATAGTGAAAGATAATGGTAACCCTATACAATTAAGTACAAATTGCTTAGTAACTATCAATATATTAGATATTAATGATAATATACCAATATTTCATCCACAATTAAATATTATTGGAGGTTATTTATTTCATATTAAAGAGAATCAATTACCTGGTACATATATTGGACAAATTCAAGCCTATGATTTAGATGATTTACCAGCTTCCATAGATATAACACAATTATTTCATGCATATGATCAATCGAATTCCTTATTAGTATTATCATCATCCTCCTCATCATCGTCTAATATCCATAATGTTAATAATGATGAATTGAAAGGGATTCTAAGTAGTATGGATAAAAAATTAACATATTCATTAAAAAATGAATATCATTCACAAATGTTTCGTATTGATCCTAAAACTGGAGTTATTATTACACGGTAAGTAATCATTTTAGGTTGATTATGAATACAGTGGTCTTGGGTGCTGTTAGAAGTATGAAGGCAGTTATCACTTCCCGGTTGCCCACACCATGGAAGGGTTCTTCTGGAGGTACCTGAAAAGGAAATCGGATTAGAGGCGGTCTCAGTGACCTGAGAGCGTGACCGCAGTGCCCAAGGGACAACTGCTTGAGGCCGGTCGCGCACGACCTTTTTGTGGGAGGTTTTTGACGTGTTAGCTCCGTTCTTCAAAGGGCCTTATCGCCGGAGACGGAAATCCGTGAGGTAAGGTGAGGTGCGCATTTTTAAGGTCGACCTTTTCTAACCTCACCCCTCCTTGTGGGAAGGCAGCATCGCTGTCATGCTGGTTGTCTGAAGGAAACACCTTACTGCTGTCACACCTCTGTACAGTCAGCAGTACGACTTCGCCTTCGGACCTTGGGTTTGTTGCTTTTAGTCTTACCGCTCTTCAACCGACCTGTCTGACATGGTAGGACCTTGAGGAACGGTTGTTCCAGCCAATATAGCTCGATTGCTTCATCACGATAGGCAAGCCCGACCACCACGTCAAGGTAGCAACAACGGTCGGGTAAGTAATCATTAAGAAACCAGAAGTCCTAGATGATTGTTTCGTTGAATTATGGAACTTTCCAACAGTCCTCCATCCATCATCCTCGCGCGTGAACGCTTTACGACTAGACCACTGAGTCGACATCTAACAGTGATGTCTAACTTTATTCAATCCACGATGTTGTACCGAGGCGAACAGAACACGGGTGAAAACAATCGAACGTATGTAACACTAAATTTACAATGCACCTTAGTAAAATCTAAGAACCGTATATTAAATCGTTAATTTGCAAAATCTTCACCAATTGTCTCAAAATGCCTCAGACTTCATTGTCCTTGCATTTTCATACAAATTGTATTCTATTCCCACTCTTGCTTTCTTAATCTTCCGTCATTTTTTTCTGCCATACATTACATTCCTGACTCGCGCCATATACTACTTATATCAATATAAGTAGCACGCACCACAGTACAACTATTCCCCCATTATCTAAAGTAGATACTTGCATCTACACAACACGGATTTGACTTCACTGATGTTTGAGCACTGCTGAGGAGTCCCATTCTAGCACCGTTATCCATAATATAAATAATGAATTGAAAGGTATTCTAAGTAGTATGGATAAAAAATTAACATATTCATTAAAAAATGAATATCATTCACAAATGTTTCGTATTGATCCTAAAACTGGAGTTATTATTACACGGTAAGTAATCATTGAGAAACTAGAAGTCTTGGATGATTGTTTCGCTGAATTATGGGACTTCTCAACAGTGAGAAGGACGGGATAGTGGATGTTCACTGCTGAGGAATCGCATACTAGGACGAAACGGCCGTCCAGTGCTTCCAGATTGTCCATAGTGGTCTAACTTCAATTGATTCATGATTTCAACTATTGAAATTACTAAGATTTCCACAAAACCCATTCTGATAATAAGCTGATAAGCAATAGTAGTTAACATAATAATAATAAGTATGATTATGTAACCAATCAAATCGGGGAGAAAAAGGGGTACAAATGAGGTGAAGGATGATAAACAAAGGGTGTGATGTAGTAACAAGAACGTTTATCAAGTCTTATTTAGCAAAGAAAAGGAAAAGTGTATTTCAAGTTTTATTTAAATAAAGCGACTAATTTTATTAGCTTGAACCATTATAGCTTCTACTATACTTGTGAGACGAGATCGAATCTTATCGTAGAGATTTAAAGGTGAATGATAAAGCGCTTAAGATTCTCTAGTTCTGTATTCCACATAACATCTATTAACCAGGTATGATAGAATGGAGCTGAGTATTGACTATATTAAACTATCTTTAGATAAGGAAGGGTGATAGTTCCTTTTTAATTTATGGAAGTGGGTAGATTCGTATATACAAACGAATTTGCGAAAACCAGGTTACACATCTTTGAGTGAGCAACTGTCGTAGGGTGACTAGGAAATAATAAACGGAGATTGCTTACTTACTAATCTAACCCTGACATTACATATGAATGTCCACCTACTTACTGGAGCTAAATAATGGTTATAAAGCAGTTTGGAGAATAAGGATTATGATTTACAGTTGATAATTAAGGTTAGGAATTATATTTAGGATTTTCATCATGAACTAACATCAGTTAAGATGCCAGGATTCTATTTAGACAATCGTGTGAATGAATTTCGCGCCAAAACCCGAGACCTGTCATCCTAAATCTGATTGGTTCGTCCATAAATTATGGTCTCGCCAAATTTTCTTCAAAATCTGTTATCATTACATCGGTTATATCAGGAAAATTTCAAATCTGACGTTTAATTCTACTTATGCATTATATTAAATTTTTGTATTATTTCTTGATAGGTTTTCTCATTGAATGCTAGATTCAATTACTAAGGTCTTCTAGTAACCCTCAGGCTAGATCTTCACAGCAACTTGAACACGAGAGAAAAGGCACGAAATATGGAAGAAACGCTTTACTCTAAAGTTTCGTTTATATACAGAAAATCTAGGGTATTTATAGTATTTTAGATGGCCTTAGGCTTGCGGAGAACTCTGGAATGCTACTAAACATTGTAGCAACATGGCGAATCATCCAATCAGAAACTCGACATGTGACTCACTTTCTTGATGTTTCTGACAAAACTTATATCATTATTATTATTATTTGAACACATAAATATTGGTACAAGAGGGCACCAAATATAAATGTGTCACACCATATTTGTGTGTGTGTGGGCTGTGATACTGCCCCCCGCCACGAGAAGGCAGTGAGTAGGATTTCCCTGGCAGAGGTTGTATACACGTGGCCATGTGGGAGCATTTCGAGAGGGAGGATGGGCCCACCCCACTCTCGGCCATACCAGGGCATTCGGGGGCACAAAACTTCTAGTGAGTACTGATTGAATACGATGCTTCTTCATGTTTTCAGAGTTTTTTTGTGACTTTTTTCGAGGAGTTTTCTGAATTTTCCCAACATTTCTAATTTTGCCTTTTTTTTAATTGAGGAGACAACCAACTTATTTAGGACTAATTTTATCACCTAAGTATTTTAATCAAATGCTAATTAATGCTAGATCTATCGATATTATCAATTATCTGTTATTTTTCGAAGAACATAAGTGGACTGCTTCAAGAAATCCTCATTATCCACAAGTAAACACTTTAGTCAATATATAAACATGTCTGTTACAAAATGATTTTATCATTGATTTTTTGTCTAACTATTGACTTGATTAGGTTTGGTAGATTAAACATCTCAAAGCTAGTCACTAGCTTATAGATAGTCACTGTCGATTGCTAGAGAATTTGAAGCAAGAACAAAATCACTGTTAAGTGTTCCTTGATGTATATGGGCTATTCAACGAGTATCAATCCGTGATAAATAACAAATCTAATCGATAATAAATAATCTTGGGATTGTAGGTTTAAAACGCTAAAAAAACCCATGTTAAAATGGAGCCTCTGTTCAGTGTCCTTTGACTTCCAAGAATTGTTTATTTACAGTCAGCTTGAAATCTTTATCAATGCTTACAAAACACTCATTTCACTACTAAGGATAATATAACCAGGAAGCATCATCTTTGAACAAGGAAGATCGGATGCGGACGTAAACGCGAGGATTGACAAAGTAAGAGCCGCATTCCTACAGTTGAAAAACATGGAACTCAAAATAACTGTTTGTCAAACAATACCAAAGTCAAAATCTTCAATACGAACGTTAAAACAGTTCAACTGTACGGAGCTCAAACATGGAGAACTACAACAACCATCATCAAGAAGGTACAAGTGTTTATAAATAGTTATCTACGCAAGATATTCAACATCCATTGGCCGGATGCCATCAGTAACAGAATTCTGTGAGAGAGGACAAACCAGCTTTCAGCTGAACAGGAAATTAGGAAAAGACGATGGAAATGGATAGGATATACATTACGCAAATCATCAAACTCCATCACGAGGCAAGTGCTAACTTGGGATCCTGAAGGGAAGCGGAAAAATGGAAAGCCAAAGAACACATTGCGTCGAATAATAGAAGCAGACATGTGAAAAGGATGAATAACAAGTGGAAAGAGTTGGAATTGATTGCCCAGGACAGTGTTGGATGGAGAATGCTGGTGAGCGGCCTATGCTCCTTCACGTGGAATAACAGGCGTAAGTAATTAAGTATTCAGGTTATAATAATCTCCATTCAACATATCCATAGTTAACAATGCTGACTTCTTCAGGAGCCATGTTTAACCAGGTTCACTGAATCTTTTGATTGTTTTTTTATAATAAAAACGAAGTAGTAGTTTCAGAGAAAAAAAACAATAAAATATTTTTTTCTGGTTAGCGTAATTTTTAGCGAGTTAGTTTTTTACGCGGATGAAGTCTCCAACCCCATTCTCAATCCTCCTCCTTCATTCGGGCTTGGGACTGGCAGTAACCCCAGAGAGGCTCTAGGCGGGGTCAATAATATAGGTATTTGCCATTCCTAAATGAAAAATTAATTTTCTAAAAAAGAAAGAGGAAGAAGAAGCATTTTCCATCCATCTAATTCATAACAACAGAAATTTATTCTATCAAGCGCTTAGTTAGGCTAAAGGGGAGAGGGGATGGAGAGTGGTGGTGGCGATGAATATTTTTCAACATTTAGTTCACACATCAATACTGATTGTCTGATGTATGTAACAACTAGCTATTTGATATAGACACAATCAATTTACCGATCCCTATGCCTATACATTACATATGTGGAAAAAAAACAGTTGAAAACTGGCTTCTAGAAAATACTGCAAATGTAAATGGTTTACATCAAACAAAGACTTAAGAATGTATATATATATATATGTGTGTGTGTGTGCTTGTGCGTGTGTACACTTTTATTTATATTCGTGTTGGGGTACTATTTGTTTTCTACTTTCTTGCTATCACGTCATCATCAGTCGATTGAAACCACTTGTTATATATAATAACATACATACATACATCAATACATTCATAAAAGTCCACACATACACAGACTCTCGAACGTAGATACATACATAGATACATACGTACACTTTTTTCCTTTCCTTTCCTTTCCTTTCCTGTTTTTTTCTTTTCCTAAAACGACACATTATTATCATTATTATTATTATGAAGCCTGATTAATATTAAAATTAGGTTCAAATGTTTCCAAAGAAAATAATCTTCCATTTATCGGAAAATTTCTATACATATTAATTAAAATAGACTCATCATCTTTCCATAATTCACATATCAACAATTCAGTTTCTATAGCCGCTCACACTCACACTCACACACACACACAGACACAGACATATACACATACACATATGCATATGCAAATGTCTATACAAGCAACTATTCACAATATGCTTATCTCTTATGCGATAAGTCTACATTCTGTTCCATGATCAGGATGATGATAACTATATGTGTGATGTTGACAATTTTTCATAAATTGCCATTAAAAGTGATTAGTGAGAAGAAAAAACAAAAAAAATAAAAAAATAAATGAAACACAATTTGAGCATATTATTGATTGAAAAATTGAAGTTGAGTTAAAATCAATTAAATAAGGATCTTTTCTTCTCTTTTTTTTCTTTCATTGAGATTATGAAATGATTAATGTTAAATTACCATTAAAAACCTGGAAGTAGTGAATGGCCGTTTCATCCTAGTATGGTACTCTTCATCAGTGTTGAATGACCAGTAGAGTTCAATCTATGTTGGGTAGAATGGTTGTTCAAGATTATGAAGTGATTGAAGTTAGACATTAATACTGTTGAATGCTAGTTCAGTTGTTTACAGGTTAAGTGTTTGAGTATGGGGTCAAATGTCTTCGGTTCGAGTTCATTCAGTAGGGGAATCGTGGATGCACACTGTTGAGGAGTCCTATATTAGAACAAAATGGTCTAAAAGTACTTCCAGATTTTGATTAACAGTCTAACATTGATCGATTCATGATTTCACTCAAAATCTTGTTATATGATCCTTATTGTCAAATTGAATTACAATTATAACCTAATACATAGCTTCACTTAATACTAATAACTATATTTCTAATATCCTATAGATTTCTACATTTTTTCGAATATATATACTTTGCTTACTTACTTACGCCTGTTACTCCCAATGGAGCATAGACCGCCAACCAGCATTCTCTAAACTACTCTGTCCTGGGCATTCCTTTCTAGTTCTATACAATTTTTTTTCATTCTTCGCATATCTGTCTCCATTTCTCAACGTAATGTGTTCTTTGGTCTTCCTCTTTTCCTTTGGCCTTAAAGATTCCAAATGAGGGTTTACCGTGTGACGCAGTTAGATGCATGTCTCAATGTATATCCTATCCACTTCCAACGCTTCTTCTTGATTTCTTCCTTCTCTGCGATCTAGTTTGTTCTCTCTCATATTAGATTGTTGCTAAATACATTATTTAATGAAAATAATAATTTCTACTTCTTCAAAGAACTTTATCAATATTTATATTGTTCTTGTACAATGAAAGGAACTAAAGTTTTGTCTGTCTGAGGTTTACTTTTTTTGGCATCCAGCCAAAAGTGGATTTTGTAATTTTGGCTTTAAATTATAATTAGTGGTCTTTTTTTTAACTATACATGTTTAAATAATTTACATGGTTAACATAAAAGAAACCATTCACATTATATTGAACGGAATTATTATGAACAATTTTCGAGCGACGCTAGACTGATTGTGAGAGTATCCACCTAATAAATAGGACAAAATTAGGATTATAAATCTGTGTGAGGAATTTCGAATTATGATTTACTGTTGATGGTTAAGGTAAGGAATTAGATTTGGGGGTTTTTATCATGAGCTGACATTAGCTATATTTCCAAATGAATGAATGAAGTTCCCGCCTACATCCATGATCTGTTATCTTATATCTGATTGATTCATCCATAAATTATAGTTTTGCCAAATTATTTATTGAAATCAAATCAAACATCATGAGAACAGCCCTTAAATAAATTCACTGGGTATTGTTGTTTGCCTGTATCTTCCCATTGTTGTTTAGGTCTACAACTGATCAGTCTCTCTTATTGACACATATGCATACTGTGTGGGTTACCTTGATATTGCCTTAATTCGCAAGCATGATAAGCAAAGATGGATAGTGGATAGCAGTGGAATCGAGGATGCATGTTTTGTTCTGTTTAGGACTCGTCAGCTGGATATACATGCATTACAGAGTTGATGTTCACTTCGAGACTCGAATCCAGTACAATCGCATTGCTAAGTGGATAACGTAATGGTGTTTGAGAGAACGGTACTGGATTCGAGTCCCAGAGTGAATATCAACTTTGAGATGCAGGTACATTCAGTTGACGAGTCCCAAATAGAATGAAACACGAATCCTGAATTCCACCGATAGCCACTATCTATCTTTGCTTATCATGCTTGTGACGTTTTAGTACTCTATAGTTTTCAATTATTTTACGAATGAAATTAGTGCATAATAGGAACTATGTTAAAACTGATGAAGAATAGTTATAGATCAGGATGAGGATATTGGAAATACTGTAATCTCTGAACTGGATGGATTGGTTAAGAAGATTTTATTGGTTTATGAACAACCTCATCAGAATATACTTCGAACACTTCAAATGATGTTGGTAAGATGAAAACTGAAAGCTTATCAACCAATCCACCCTGATCTAAGATCATAAGAAAACCGATATCTGAAGACTAAATTAAAGAGAAATACCTTATTGTTTATGAAAACATTTTTACACATTTAATTATGAGTGAATTGCACCCATATTTTGCTACGTTTGGATACATCACCTCGATCCGTCAGAGGTGATTAAAGTGGTTTCGAATTTTACGGGAAATATCATTTACTCTAGGATTACATGTATTATTTGCTGGTGAATGTCAACAAGGATAAAATGTATGCATGGAGGTTCCTATCGATCGTCTTTGTTTACTTGAAAACATCAAGCTGCCTGGGTGCCGAAACCAAAGCAGGCGGTTTTCGTAGGGGGCCACACCCGGAGTCTTCGTCCTAAAGATCTGATCCACAAGGCAGTAGAGCAATGTAAGGAGATGCAGTCCCATGTTAGCCGGTGGCCAAAAATTGGTTCATACGTCATTCGTTCCCTTAGGATACCGGAGCCCATGTGCACCATTGGTTTGGAATGAGGGTTTTCAAAATCACCTAGGTGGATCCTTCATATCCACCAATCTGGTCATTGTGCCAGACATTCGCGTTTGGTCCTTTCAATTTCGCAAACAACACTCCTGCCACGAGAAGGCAGTGAGTAGGACTTCACTGATAGGGTCTGTATACGCGTAGCCATATGAGATGTTAAAGACTTCAGATTCAAACGTGATAATGACTAGCTATTGATTATTTAATTCTCTTTCATGTCATCACAACAGAATCATCTATCTCCCCAACTAATAACCATCATACACGCAATCTATTCGATAAACAGATTGATATACATAGTAAAATAATACAATATTAGACTATAGTATATAAGAAGACATTTCATGCTAAACTGTTCTATTATCTTAATAGTTTGTATTGAATGACTTCACAAAGGATAGTCAAATATAGCGATGAATATACTATTGAATCTTTCTATCACAGAACATTATTGTCATTTCTTGAATGATTTGTGTTATAACTTGTGAACTGTATGCCCTGTTGATGTATAACGTAATGAAAGAGCAGTGACTTATCGATCGGACCAATGACGCATAAAACACGTACGAACAGTCTAGAATACTTATCAGTCCTGCTTCCCATCTAGTTAGTTAAGTCCAGAACATCAATCTCAGCCTCTACAATATGAATCGTTTATTTCAGACATGTTGGGTTTATATACCAACCAGACAGACCACATCGTGCCATAAAATAGGAAACAACATTTGTACAAGAATTAGCCAGATGTGGCTGTGAATGTGGGAGATAGTAATTAATAGACAGGGCATAATTCAAGAATGGTAAATTGTATAATAATAGTTCATAAGTCAAAAGAAAGCTTATGATGAGAGGAGCATGAATATGCATAGCTTAGTTACATAACAATTATACGATACAAATATACGCATAGTATTGATCCATAAATGGATCCCCAAAGTTACCATTCATTATTTTCATCGGGATATAACAATTTGATTACTTCAATTACAAATGATAATATCAAGAATGGGGAAAAAACATGGATAAACTAATAACAGTTATTTCCGTGAGATTATAATTTATGCACAACATTTGAGTGACACTAAAGTGACCTTGATAATGTCCCATCACTTACTAGGACTAAATGAGGATTATAAACAAGTGTGAGGAATTAGAATTAGGATTTACAATTGATGGTTAGGGCCAAAATCTAAGATCTTTTATCCTAAATCTGATTAGTTCATCCATCAGTCATAGTCTTGCTAACTAGATTTCACAATTTTATGGTCTTTTATATATTTTCACCACGGTAATTGTGGTTAGGGTTTAGTTTATTTATTATGAAACTAGGAAATTATGTTTAGCAAGGTTAAATAATAAATGACTTAACAGACTTCAAATATAGTATAGCCATCTTATCCAAAATCTTGCATGTTCACGAACACATAACCTCTAGATGCCGGCTTAGAAACTTACAAGTTAAGTGTTGGCACGTGAGACTGAAGGTGCTGGATTCAATACTTTTTTTGCGAGGAATCGTGAGTGTGCACTATTGAGGTGTTCTATACTAGGATGAAAGAGTCTTCAACTGCTTCTAGGTTTTCGATGGTAGTCTAACTTTTTTTTCTATATTTGTTTTTATCAAGTATCTAAACGAGAATTTTCAATATATATTAGGATAGTCATTCAGTCATTAATCTACCACGTAGGACCAGGCTCGTATGTACATCGGTCCAAGTTGCCATACCTCACTAACACAACAAGATGGACACCAAATTCATAGAAGTAGTTACTTCAATGATAGTAATATACAAAAGAAAGATTGCACATAAGGATATGATACAGGGAGAAAGAATTAGTTGGTAGAAAGAAAGGCAAAACGTAATTCTAATCTCACGGTTTAATGAAAAACAATAAGTGTAAACACCTACACCATTGTGACCGACTCTGAACTATGTCACCCAGAGTCACCAACCACTTGTAATGAAAGTCCAGAGGACCCCAACCAAGTAGTCTCCATCTACCAACATGGGTAATACCAGAATATAGTGACTTCAACGACTAATGCCATATTTTACTTTGGCCACCAGTAACTTTCCTTCAGCTGCCTCCAACACTAGTCAGTATTGCACATTGTGTTAATCGGTGGTTGGGCATACGTAACACATGGCCCAACCATTTCATTCGATGAAGATTCACAACCTCATCAACTGATTTACCATCATTTCCTAATACCCTACATCTAACCTCACTATTACTTACTCAATGATCCCAGTAGATGTGAGCAATATTTCTAAGACATTTGTGGTCAAATACTAGTAGCTTACGAGTATCCGATAGTATAATTGAATGTTTTTAATTTTATTAGTTTGATGAATAACTTCATTTCATAATCAAAAACGAAACAATCTTTTCATTTTATACTGGTTAGTCGATTTTTACTCGTGTATTTCCTTTGTACTTTTCTTATACTCTTAAGAACAATACTAGATCGTGAAATTCAAGGAACATATACATTCTATGCATATGTACATGATGGTCCTGATAAACCTATTCAAATAACAAATACTACTGTTAATAAAACTGAAATTCAACGTACTATTAATAATTATCGTTCACATACAGCTTCTATCATGATTACAATTACTATACAAGATGAAAATGATAATGATCCAGTATTTATTCGACCAAATTCAACAAATCATATGATATTATTGAATCCAACAGCTATACCTGGACAATCATTATCACAAGTAAGCAATGAGTTTACTTATTTCAACATATAGATATTGGTACAAAGAGGTACCGAATACATATGCGCCACACAAGTCTCATTTGATATGTGTGAGGGCTGTGATATTGCTCGGGTGCCCAAACCGAAGCAGGTGGTTTTCTTAGGGGGCAATACCCCGAGCCTTCGACATGAAGGTCTGATCCACAAAGCAGTGGAGCATCGTGAGGAGATGCAGTCCCATGGTGGCCGGTGACCAACAATTGGTTCATACTTCATTTGTTCCCTCAGGATACTGGAGTCCATGTGCACCATTGATTTGGTTTGGGATCCGGTTAAAGCGCCGGACATTCGCTTTTCGTATTCTCATTTTCGTAAACAACAGCGATGCCACGAGAAGGCAATGAGTGGGACATCCCTGGCAGAGGCTATATACGCGTGGCTATGTGAGAGCATTTCGAGAGGGAGAGCGGACTCTCCCCACTCTCGGCCGTACCAGGGCATTTGGGGGCAAGCAATGAGTATTATTGACACAGTAAAACGATTATCGAACATTAACTAATTTCTATAATGATTTATATTTCAGCATTGTTCGATTTGATCAACTTTCATTGGGATATATAGGATTCTTGAATAAATTCTACGTTATTATCTGCATTATTAAATTGGTTATATTTGAAGTGGTAACTCATTGTAAAGTCAGAAACTTACGTTTTGTCTCATATAAGACTCGTCATGAAGATGGTGAATTAGCTGGAGTTAGATATGTAAACCATTGGATACCAACTCGATAGTTTCATAATTAGGCACCTGATACAGAGCATGAAATCTTGAGCTCCGATCCCCTGCAGGATTAAGTATACACACTGCTAAAGAACCTTATGCTACGAGGAAACAGATATCCAGTGCTTTTTATTTCTCAGTGGTTCTCTAACTAAGATTAGTCTGTGATAGAAACCTCCAGCTGAATGACCAACATAATCTTCTTATATAGTCAGAACAAATTTTCATTTGCTGGTTCATCAACAGCTAAAAGCTTTAAGAACCTGGGATAATCTAGAAAGTTACTAAAAATAAAAAAAATCAGAGGTGAAACTACATGTTGAAAACAGTTTTTGAGGATTTCGATTGAGATCATGAATCGATTGATGTTGATGGCCCTGGGTTCGAATCCAGCGAGCGGGATTTGGGATGCGCACTTCTAAGGAGTCCCAAAATAGGACGAAACGGCCGTCCAGTGCTTACAAGTTTTCAATAGTGGTCTAACATCAATCAGTTCATGATCTCAATCAAAAACGTAATTAATCTCCACAACCCTATACTGATAGTTTTCGGGAACTTGAAGAATTGTGAATTAAGTAAATATACCTGTGTAATATATGAGGTCAACTGCATTTACAACAGCTCACCAGTGATATCTCTGACTATGATACTCAATGATGTGAGTTCTAAACTCGATAGGAACACAAATTTCTTCACGATTCCAAACATATCCTACCGATGAGTCTCAAGAACCATGAAACTTGGGTCAATTATTTCCCGTAGATTGACTCCAACTACCTAATTTCCAAAGGCTATTAAAAGTCATGATTAACTGAATAAGTTAAAACAAATGAGTAAAAACAAAGAATGATATAAATTAACCAAACTTTTCCATACATAAGTTTGACTAAAGTAAAAACGAACGATGTGAAATAACATGAAGTCTTTTAAATTCATTTTGTATTGGTTGTTTAAATCTTCGTATTGATGTTAAGGACTACAATTGATCAGTCGTTTATTGGAATATGTGCATGTTATGCGAATTGACTTGATATTGCCTCAAATCATAAACATTATAAGCAACATTATATACTAAGTGGATAACATGATAGCGTTTGTAGTGAACGGTACTACATTTGAGTTTCAGAGTGAACATCAACCCTGTGATGCAGTTACATCCATCTGATGAGGTGATGAGCGTCCTGGATTACTCTGCTATCCACCATCCATCTTTGCATATAATAAAGTCGTTTTATTTCTCAATGTTCTACTAGCTGTTTGCAGCTAAAACATAATCTCATTAATCCTTAAAAATCCATATACGTTACTTATTATCATGATATCAGTAAAGTTCTCATCAATAAAGATTAATCAAAAGTGCGATAGCTATCAACCTAGACTAAACAAATTAGAAAACCAAATCACAACACCTCTGGTCAATGTTAAACACTCGATTCAATAGAACTCATTACAACACGTCAACTTCTTTGATTATGATAAAGCATTCAATAGCATGGATAGAAACACCATGTGAAGTCTTCTTTGGTATTATATAGTATCTGGTAATATCATCAATGTTTTACGGGATTCCTATGACTGATTAAATTGCTAAGTTATCCATAGGGAATACTCATGGATGCATTGAAAATAAAGATTGATTATCAGTTTAGTGGTTGTGGAGATTATCAAGCTTTTGATTGAAATCATGAACCGATCGATGTTGGACCACCATTGAAAACCAGGAACCACTAGACGGCGGTTTCGTCCTATTGTGGGAATCCTCAGAAGTGCGCATCCACTATCCCCCCTTGCGGGATTCGAACCCAGGGCCCTCAGTCTCCGTTCATGATCTCAATCAAAAACTTAATAATCTCCACAACCCATAAACTGATAATTACCATGTGCTCACTAGTGACTAGCTTCGTGAGAAAATTCTCGGAGTTCTAGTGAGAAGCCGTGACCAGTGGAGCTAATCCGTGTCGGGTAGAAACAGGTGTCTACCTCAGTACATTGGTAGATGATCGCGCAACTTTGTGGATTGGTTGAGGTTAGACATTAACACCACTGGATACCGGCCGGCTCAGTGGTCCAGTAGGTTAAGCGTTCTCGCGCGAGACCGAGGTCCCCAGGTTGGGATCCCACGAGCGGGATCGTGAATGTGCACTGCTGAGGAGTCCCACAATAAGACGAAACGGCCGTCCAGTGCTTATAGGTTTTCCATGGTGGTCTAACATCAATCGGTTCATGATTTCAATCATAAAGATTAATGTTAGATAAGAGTGTCTACTCTAACCTTTGTTCCCCGAATTATTAAGATCTATTTCTTTAGAGTAAATAAGTAGTTTAGTGATTAATTTTTCTTAGTAAACAGGTCGATTAGTTTATATACACAATTATTAATCTTGTAGGTGTTTTATTGTACAATACTGGGATTGTTTCTTATCTCACCTTTGTCATGATCTTTGAGCAATACACAACAAACACCTAATCAGACGATAACATATTATCTATCTTAATTAACATGAATTCAGTAGCTGGATAGTTGATTACCTAGATGATTAATGACAATCATAGAACCGTTACGAAGCTCTAGTGAAACGACAGGATACTAATAATAATAATATACAGCTAATTGTAACAAGGTCTATTTAAACATGTTTCTCTGATATTTATGTTAGAGTTGTTTACATCTATGTACATAAGAATGTATATGGATGTCCATTATTGATTACATCACTAGATTTCATACTAAACAATCATTATTGAATATGGTTTACTATACAATATTTGATTAAATAAACATTATTATTAGAGAAGAGTTTTGTGAAGATTGCAGTAATTTAATAATTGAATCTATGAGTCAATTGAAGTTAGACCACCATGGGAAACCTTGAAGCACTGGACGGTCATTTCGTCCTAGTATGAGACTCTTCAGTAGCGCTCACTCACAATCCCGCCCCCCCCCTCAGCGAGATTCGAAACTAAGACCTATCAGTCCGCATGAGAACGATTAGCCTTCCGGCATCCATCAACTCATGAATTCAATCATTAAACATTAATCTTCATTATAATAAGTTAATTTCATTGTTTTCTATATACTCTATTCAATATGTAAATTGAGAATTGAATAAATGAGCATAAAATGAAATGACAATTATTAATAAATAATTAAACAAACTATTTGTTTTCCATTAAATGTTTACTTTTCGGTTAATGGTATTCTAACTCATGGGAATAATGAAACTTAAATAACAGATTCTATCATGCATAAAAGTATTTAACCGATTATGACATAAGAATAAGAATAAGAAGGAGAAGAAGAAGGAGAAGAAGAAGAAGAAGAAGAAGAGATGAGGAAAGTGAGACTATAATTTATGGACAAACCAATCACATCTAAGGCAAGAGATCTTGAAATTTGGCGCGAAATTGATTCATTCATTTATTTAAATGGAATTTTGTCATTATAGCTAATGTCAGTTCATGGTGAAAACCTTAAATTTAATTCTTAACCCTTAACCATCAATAGTAAATCATGATTTGAATTCCTCATACTGGTTCATAACTCTCATTTGGTCATAGTTGTTAAGTGGACACTATCGAGGTTAATCTAGCGTCGCTTGAAGGTCATTCATAAATTATGGTTCCATCATTTTCTTATACAAATTCATATTATCAGTATAGGGGTTGTGTAGATTATTAAGTTTTTGATTGAGATCATGAACCGATTGATGTTAGACCACCATTGAAAACCTGTAAGCACTGGACTGCCGTTTCGTCTTATTGTGGGACTCCTCGGCATTGGATGCCAGCTCAGTGGTCCAGTGGGTTAAGCGTTCATGCACGAGACCGGAGGTCCTGGGTTGGGGTCTTGCGAGCGGGTTCGTGTACGCGCAATGCTGAGGAGTCCCACAATAGGACGAAACGGCCGTCCAGTGCTTTCAGGTTTTCAATGGTGGTCTAACATCAATCGGTTCATGATCTCAATCAGAAATTGATATTAGTCGAAGAACCATTGTAAACTAAAAAGAGTTGTATGGGATTTCTCATGATTTCACATGAAATGACAACAAAGCTATTTAGATTACTATATTAATCATGATACTTGTAGATTATGGATAATATTGAATTCTTATGATGGACTAAGTGCTGAATTTCGAAGATAAAGATGATAAAGACCCATCAATTTCAACAATTGTACTATTATCCAAATGTGATTTTACCTTCGTTCATAATTGCTTTCAACGTTGTTGAATCTATCAGTAAACTTCTTTTACTTGTCATAATATAGACATCCATAATAATGTTAGATAATTTCAATATATCAACTAATATAGTTAACTTGTTTACTTTGCAAAAACGGACGGTGGCTAGCAATAGGATCCAGGACGCGCATTTTGTCCTATTTCGAACTCGTCAGCATGATGTATTTGCGTCTTTGAATTGATGTTCAATCTGGGACTGTTTTGTCTTTGTATTTTAAGTGTTTTATTATATGATCAATTGTTTATTTTATTTTCATCTAGTTATTAGCAATAGATCCAGACGAAGGTTTAAATGGACAAGTATCATATGCAATAAAAGGTGAAACAGCTGGAATATTATTCAATGTTGATCCAAGAACTGGATTATTATACTTAGAAAGTCAAATACCAAGACAATATATAACAAATAATAAACAAAAAACTACAATAAATAATCAAGGAAATGATTTGAATTATCCAACATTTTTATTAGGATTAGATGCATGTGATCATGGAGAACCAAGACGATGTACACATTTTCCAAATCTTCAGATACAGGTAACTTACTAATACTACTACTACTACTACTACTAATAGTAATATTAATGATAACAGTTGCTTTGTTATGGAACGATTCCTGAGTGAGCATCCACAAGTTTATCATGGATCAATTCTAAGACCTTCAGACAGTTCAATGACAACGTTAACGTCAAGGCATTGAGTTTATATCCTATGTATTACATTTTTAACTTTGATCGATTCATGGATGCTCGTTGTGAATAAGTTCCACACTAAAATGAAACAGCACTAAATTCCTTTCAGTAATTATCTAACCAAAGTAATTTCTTGATGTAACAATTCAAATAATTGCTTTTTTCTTACTTACTTACTTACTTACGTCTGTTACTCCTCGTGAAGGAGCATAGGCCGCTCACCAGCATTCTCCATCCAACCCTGTCCTGTGCAATCCTTTCCAACTCTTTACAGTTATTACTCATCCTTTTCACATATCTGCTTCTATTTCCCGACGTAATGTGTTCTTTGGCTTTCCATTTTTCCGCTTCTCTTCAGGATCCCAAGTTAGCACTTGCCTCGTGATGCAGTTTGATGATTTGAGTAATGTATGTCCTATCCATTTCCATCGTCTTTTCCTAATTTCCTGTTCAGTTGGAAGCTGGTTTGTTCTATCCCACAGAATTCTGTTACTGATGGTATCCGGCCAATGGCTGTTGAATATCATACGTAGACAACTACTTGTACCTTCATGATGATGGTTGTTGTAGTTCTCCATGTTTCAGCTCCGTATAGTACAACTGCCTTGACGTTCATATTGAAGATTCTGACTTGCTTTGTTCACTGATCTAAATTTGCTAGCAATAAACAATTCTTGGTACTAATTATTCAATATTACAACGGATTTCTTCTGAACAAATATTCGACGTATGCTTGTCATCCTTATCATTTATAGTGTCTAAGGCGTAGCTTAACTAATATTTATGCTTTGTACTGAAATCTTGAACCCGACGAAATACAGTAAAAACACATAGACTGTTGATATGGATGTATTTGATCATGGAAATAAATCAAAATTATTTATGAATATACCACTTTTAAGACAAAATTTATCAATATCAGAAGGGGTTTTGTGGATATTATGGCTATTTTAATAGTTGAGATGATAAGTCAATTGAAGCTAGACCATCAGGAAAAACTTGGGAGCACTGGATGGCCGTTTCATTGCATAGTAAGACGAAACAATCATCCAGTGCTTCCTTGTTTTCGATAGTGGTCTAGCTTCAATTGACTCATGATCGCAACTATTAAAATTACAAAATTTATTGTTAGTTAGATTAACAATCGGATTTGTTGTAATTGGACTGAGTTATCCTTAACAATAATAATCCAATGACTTACTGCATGTTATACAATGAAGCATGTATAATAAACAGATATTGTAGTGAACGAGAACATAAATGAAGACAATGGAATGTATTTGTACACACAATTACAGAATCTCTTACTAAATTCTGAGAACCATACAGTAAATACTTCATTTGTAAATTTTCAATCACTCATCTCAGACTTCATTGTTCCTTCGTTTCTTTCTACACCAATCATACTGTGTTCTCGTTCTCTCTCCTTCGATCGTTTTAACCTTCTGTCACCAGGTATTTCATTTTTGATGAGTGACACATACTACTTATATCTGTTGATATCAATAGCATACAGCATAATATATTACAATAGAAATAATATACGTACCTTCATGACTACTAAGGATCAAAAACTAATTTATTGAAATCGTGCATTCACCAGAGATAAGGGTATAAACCATTCAATTTTGAATCAGTGGCATTTCACTTATCATTTAACCTTGGGCTAGATTACATATCGAATTATAGGTGAAGATAAATGATTGGTCATAAATCAAAATAAAATGTTATTCCGGTTCCACTTTAATCTTATAGAGCTTTCCTGTTAATAACTTTTTAAGTATATCTAGATTGATTAAAGTTAAACATTAACACCGTTGGATGTCGGCCGGCTTAGTGGTCTAGCGTTAAGGGTTTGAATCCCGTGAAGCAGGATCGTGCATATGCACTGCTGAGGAGTCCTACAATAGGACTAAACAACCGTCCAGGTTTTCCCTGATGGTCTAGCTTCAATTGACTCGTGAACTCAATCATTGGTATTTAGATTCTTTAAATCTTTTTTTAATTATCTCTTTGTCTACACATAGATTCGCAGTTCATCGAATATTATTGATGAAGAGAAATCAAATGAATACAGACAAACTGATTTATCTATGAATCAACAAATCGATGATATTTTTATGTCTCAATCAAGTCATGGATCTCTATCATCATCATCGTCATCATCATCATCAAATGGTTCTGGTACTTCAACTACTTATCTTGGAAGATATTCACTTGGTGAAATATTAATCATTGGATTATCTATATTCTTTTCAATATTAATTTTAATTATTCTATTTACTATTTGTATTGTACGACGTAGAACTCAACGAATATTACAGAATAGTGAACGAATAAGTAAGCTGTTATTATTATTATCATTGTTGTAATATTGTTTGTAGTTGGGTGTGTTTTTTTCCCTTTCTATAATCAATATTTCGAAGAGTATCCAAGTAAAAAAGATAAAAACATACATTATCGATTTATGGTTAGAAAATATAATCAATAAATCAATATTATCTATAACCAATGATTATAGGTAATTGACTTATTATCTAACTGAATGAATACAAAGATGATTCGTCGAATTGTAAGAAAAATGGTAAAATATAGTCATATTGAAATTATTCATATTCATAGTGTACTGTGGTATGTACTACTGATGTCGTCAAATATAAGTAGTATGTATTAGACATGAGAAATAGAATTCTTAATGAGAGAACAGGAAATTGAATAACTGAAAGTAACCACAATAACAACAGAAATGAAAGAATGATGAAGTTTAGAAGAGATAATTTAAGAAAGATGTGCAAATAGTGTACTTAGTGTATTGTTATCATATTTATCAGTTTAGGGGTTGTGAAGATTGTTTTTATTGAGATCATGAACTGATTGATGTTAGACCACCATTGAAAACCTGAAAGCACTGGACGGCCGTTTCCACTTATTGTGGGACTCCTTAGCAGTGCACATCCACGATCCCGCTCGCGAGATTCATATTTCACAAAGACACTATGCAAATTTGTATAATTTAATACCAGATCAAATCTTCTATCAGTACAGTATATGCAAAGCAAATGTAATACATAGTATCAATTCAATTTGACAATATATTTGTATAAATCGGTTTTGGTCACCGTCTACCATCGGATCCACTGCTTTGTGGATAAAACTTTTAGGTTGAATGCTTTGCGTATGGCCACCTATGGGAACCATCTGTTTTGGTCTAGGCAGACAAATTAAGATAAGTTTAACTTTTAAAGAGATGCTCAGATTTTTATTTCATAGTTAGTATTGTAGTTCAGCTAAAGAAAAAAAAAACCAATAAAATCCTAATACAAAAATGTCATCCAATAATAATAAAATGATATGGATTGTTTGAAGTTAGACATGAACACCGTTAGATTCCGGATCAATGATCTAGAGATTAAGCATTCGCACACGAGGTCGAAGGTCCTGAATTCGATCACCGCTTGAGAGATAATAGACAGCCGTCTAGTGAATCCAGGTTTTCCATGATGGTCTAGCTTCAATTGACTCATGATTTCAATCTGTGAAATTTCTAAAATCCCCACAAACCCCTTTTGATAAAAAAAATACTTGGATTTACTCAAGTACATAAATGTTTCGATTGATTATTGAACATATCCTATTTCTTATCTTCTCATACTATTCATACCACCCCTGTCAATTTTTGATTTCCTCATTTTTATTCATTGTGTTCATTCAAATTTTCTATAATTTTTTATTCATTGAGTCACCGGAAATGATACATTATTAATACAGTAATAATAATAATCATAATCATAATAATTGCTATGAGGGGAAAGTTGACAAGCTAAATTTAAATGTCTAATTGTATATTCTTGTTCTGTATTTCTATTCTATCTCTCACTCTTTGTCTCTCCCCCCTCTCTCTCTCTCGTCCTCTCTCTCGCCCTCTCTCATTTCCCCCTCTCTCTCTCATTCTATTGTATTCTATTGTTTTAATTTGTAAATTATTCACATCCGGTACATGTTTACTAAAAATGAAGAATATATTCAACCATCCATTCATTCATTGTAAACTACAACAAACATACAATACTAACTGTAAATTAGGAAGAAACAATCTCCAATTATTTTTCTCTTTTCTCTCTTTTCTCTCTTTCTCTCTCTCTTTCTCTTTCCTTACTCTTGAAAAACTTTTGTATTGGATAAATGACCGATATTAAATATTTGTGAAAACCAGTAAACCAATATATGAAGTTTATATCGGTTTTAATGATTTTCCATGGTGATCTAGTTTCAATGGAAATCATGATCTCAACTATTGAAATTATTATAATATCCAGAAAAGAAAATTCCTTTTGATATTGATTAACATATGATTACTAGTGACTAACTTCAAGAAGTATATCCTGAATTTCTAGCAAGAAGTAATAATCAATGGAATTCAACCGGGTTTCTTTTGTGATAGTAACTCACTGAAGATAATGGTGGATGTGTTGATCAGTTCCATGGATTGATTAAAGTTAAACATTAATACCGCTGGATTCCGGTCAGCTCAGTGGTCTAGAGGTTAAGGGTTTGCGTGAGAAACCGATAAGTTCTGGATTCTAATTACAGGAGCGTGATCATGGATGCACACTGCCGAGGAGTCCCATACTAGGACGAAACTGCCGTCCAGTGCTTTCAGGTTTTCCATGTTGGCGCGATTTCGTGGGTTCGTAGAAGTTAGACATTAATACCGTTGGATGCAAACCGGCTCAGTGGTCTAATGGTTAGGCGCTCACGCGTGAGACTGATAGGTTCTGTGTTCGAATCTCGTGGGAGGCGACATCATGGATGCGCACTGCTGAGGTGTCCCATACTAGGACGATACAGCCATCCAGAGCTTCCAGCTTTTCCATAGTGATCTAGCTTCAATTGACTCATGATTTCAACTAATAAAAACGATAAGAACGGCATAATTTCAAACTTTATTCTTTCATACTCCTGGAACAAACTATCCCTTTGATATATTTACAACATCATGAATCATACTGTTTATTTCTTAGATAAATAACAAATGAAACAGTAACACAACTACTATATCTTGTATCCATTACATACTATTAATTCATAGACATTTACAGTAACCAAGAACTGAAAGTACCAGATATCTATGTTGTTTATGTCTACAAAATTATTGATTTTTTTTCTAAAAAAATTACTCAATACTTGATTAGTTACACTTTATTACTGTCATGAAAAATCGGAATATTCTCATAACTGATTAAACGATTCATTTAAGCAGAACATAATGATTGAAAAAAAAACAAAAGAATAATTCATTCATAAATAATAATTTTCATCCTTGATTAATAAACCATAAACAATATAGAATTAATCTATGAATGATTATACAAATATATACTACTTATAAATACTTAAATGTATTTCATTATTGTCTATCATTGTCTATCATTGTAATGAGAATCATATGTATAGTGTTATATATTGACTGTCATAGTGATGAATTGTGTAAGTTGTATTCATGTTAATAAATATGACATACATACGCATTCATGTGTAACACTAATATATCCTGGGTTTGAATCCCATGCTGAAGAGTTCTATACTAGGACGAAACAGCTGTTCAGTATATTTATCATCAAAAAACTGAAAGCACTAGACAGTCGTTCTGTTCTAGTAGAGAACTCTTCAGTAGTGAGCATTCATGTTTCTAAATGTGAGATTTGAACTGTCCAATGCTCCCAGGTTTTCCATAATGGTCTAGCTTTTAATGACTCATGAATTCAATTATTATATAAATGTTTAGTGAATGACCCGCTATTTAAATAAATAAATAAAACAATAATAAAGCTGAATAATTAATTTTCAGTGGTAAATAATCCATAGTTATATAATATACCCTTGTGAGCCAGGGTAATTTTACATTGGTTTTCAGGAGAACCAGACACCGTCCGGACTTTCACGTGACAACCCAACACAGTACAGTCCAATCGCGCTTCACAAGAGAACCAGACACCGTATAGGCTTTAACGCTACAATCTGAATAGTATAGCTCAATCCTGTAGCGCAACCACACAGGTACCAAGTACCCTGGTGGACCGGGTGATTAATTAATATCAGACACTAGAAATAGATTGTTTGATGAAATGATGAAATAATTCAAACGCTTATTTCTATGATTTTTATAAAAATAAGTAATATATAAACTTAGAACTTAATTCATTTAAGTCTATGACTGAAGCTGGGTGACATGGGATCGAATCCGTCACGGAGCATCAGTCCTTGCACGATTACAAGTATACTTTGCTGACGAATACCAAATAGCATGAAACCTGGATCCAGGGTTTCCTGTTGACTACCTTCAAACCACTATCTTATCTCAATATATTACACGTAATGTCGAGTCACCTAGACCAGTGGATACATTACAACTTGGTCAATAGTATTCGATCTACACTAAGAAGGACCTAAAACATTTAACATTGATCATCACTCAGTGATCAATCAAATGAGAGTGTTTTTCAGTTCAAATTAATGATTAACTTAGAAAACCCTAATAAACCATAATCACAATTTACTTTTAATAATGTCTTACACTCACCAATGATGAGTGTCTTCAAATTTCGCCATGAGATTCTCATATTTGCTTGGGAAAAGAAAAGATCGACTATAAAATACACATCTCGCTTTATCCCACGGAATTCCGTCTCCGGCTGTAAGGTCTCAACAAGTACGGAGCTAACATGAAAAGATCGTGTGTAACCGACCCCAAACAGTTGTATTTGGGCACTGCGGTCACGCCCTCAGGTCACTAAGAACAACTCTAGCCCAATATCTTTTTCAAGTACCTCTAGAAGAACTCTTTCACGATATGTGGGCAACCGGAAACTGATAACCGCTTTCATACATTTAACCGCACTCAATACCACTCTATATACCCTTTAGCCACTACTGACATATTTCTTGATAGAAAACTCACAGATTTCACTTTGAACATGGAATTTTTATTACGTATAACTTCATAATTAATAAGAAAATTAAGCTTATTCAATTAGTCTGATGAATTAATTTAGACATATGGTGGCTAACAGTGGAATTCAGGGCGCGCGCTACATCGTCCAATTTAGGACTCGTCATATAAATGTACCTGTACCAAACAGTTGACGTTAATTTCAGAACATGATGATGATGATGATGATGATGATGATGATGATGATGATGATGATGATGATGTTTTATCAAATTGAACGTTTCTACAATATGTTACTTTTCACACAAACACAGACATCCTTATACTAACAAACATTGACTTATATGAAGAAAAATAATCTAATTTCATTAAATATATTACTTAATACCCA